GTATCAGAAACTGATTAATGTGATTTCCTAACGTTTGCTGACGTTTAATATTTTAGATACCCACCAGAATGCCTAAATATGTGCCGTAGTCTGATCCATTAAAGGGTTGTGCAGTGGGAAATAATATTTACAATATTATTATGTTGGTCACACTGCAGGATTTAAATCGTACAATTACTCTTAACTGTATATATTTTTAAATACCCATGTAAATTTATTAATAATGCGATTTCTTCCAAATTGTTACGCCTCAGTACAATCTAATTCTTTTGACTCAGTTTTCTATAAATTTTTGTGGTAAAATTAATCCGGCGGAGGGAAATTGCCGGGAGCGTAATATTGTTAAAGTTTGCGTTATCTTTGAATTCCGAAGGTCTTGAAGATGATATTAAAATGTTCAGTTCCTACGTCAGAGGAAACACAATGTACATCACAAAAATAATTTGGTTAATTCTCTTTATTGGAACAACCGATGTTCATTGCAAGAAACATACGAACCCATAAAAAGTTACCTAATATTAAAGCAGACGGTTCACATGGTTAGAGGTCATACAAAGCTGTAAACAAGCGCTGGAAATGGCTGTAATATCACGCGTCACTTTTTTCTTTTAAATTCCGGGAAGGGAAAAACCACAAGCCGTTTATGGTTGTCATTATTTTCACAGAATACGTAGTAATAAGTTGATAATAAAAATTGCTTATTCCTGAAACTCAGCAACGGTCCGAAAATTTACCGACTGTAGTGGCTTACGAATTAGAACGTAACCAACACCTCGAAGTCTGTTTTGATATAACGCACGTGTTCGTACTTTAAGCGTCACCCTTGGCTCGTGTATTTCAGATACAGCATTCGTTGTCACTTGTCCGACGGCCAATCAGTTACGTGAGTTCTGCAGACTTCTTTGTCGGTCGACCGAACACGCCCAAGACCTTCGGCCTCCTGAATCCCTGGCCCTTAAACAGCGTCACTTCTCCTTCTCCTTCTTCCTCCTCCTCCTGCTCATGAAGTTTGCAAATTGATTATCTGACCGACTGAAGAAACGGTGAGCGTGTTTTTCAGGAGATTGTTGAAAATGTCTGGAAATAATGTAATAATGTTGCGAACCCCCGGAATTCTATGGAAATGCGAGTAAAATTATCTGGACATTCATTATTCGTACAGGAAGTTGCCCACTTAGAAATGCAACTAGTGGTTTGTCATTCAAGTAATTTTACGGGGCGCCCATATGCTTATATTACCTGCGTGAAGGGTATGTCAGAAAAGTTGCCTGACCAGTCAGGCGCTAGAGGCGGTTCTGAAAGACACTTGGCGTGGAGAAAGTTCCAGTTACGGCAGATCGGCAGGCTCTTGTCAGGATGGACTACAGTTTTCATGCCATGGACTTAACCAAACTTTGCGTGGGCCAAAGAACCCGCTGTTACCTTTATAAATACATTTTATTTTACGCGTTTTCATTTGAATATGATACTTTCTGTACGACGTAATACTCACCGTGTAGGGTAACAACGCCATTTTGTCTTTTACAGACCATCCTTTACTTTTTCATTAATAATAATAAACCATTCCATTTATCTTAAATTTAATTACGATTTCCGTACTTGTTCATTCCTGATAAAATTTTATAAATGTTTGGTCACTCCTTCACATACGAAGTTTATTTAGAGTCTGCAGAGGGCATGCATTGAAAACTTGGAACAATGTAAGAAAGACAAACATCACTAAAGAGTCAGACGCAGCGTCTCTCGAGTGTAAGGCACGCGATACCACGGGACTTACGTGCAGGTTAACATGGGCAGAATGTGTAAATTGTGACTGAGAAGGGTGGAATGAAGATGCTGAAAGACTGCGAGAAGAACTAGTGAAGCTAACGTGTCCTGGGAATCGATACAGGGACCTTTGTAGAGAGAGACGGATGCTTCAGACTGAAACTCTCTGGCTGAGGCGTCTCTAAAAAAAATGCGAGCTGTAAAAGACGTAACTTCTCTGCGGGACGATTGATGTTCCAGATACGTGTCTAGCGTCCGCGATCTCCACGACTCTTAACACGACATGGCAAACTACACTTTTACAGTCTTCGCGAAAATTAAGTCATCTTCAGCGGAAGACATAATGTCGGCGACATTCCAGTTTATGGGCTAAACTGCAGCGAGACACAGCTCTTTAGTGGGCGTATCACTAGCACAGAGCGTGTCTGATCGATACTCTGGGACAAATGTTATGTAGTAAATCTTGAATCTCTCCTCATTCTGAATCATAGTCAGTTCACACGGAACAAATTTAAAGTTCTTGTAGCAGTGAAAAGGCTGAAACCAACCTTAAGTTTACAGGCGCTGGAGGTTCTGTCCGTCTGAGCGGAGAATTGACTCGACCTTGAAGCCATGACGTCATGCAAAAAGCTGTTCTAAAAACATTGCCTCTTACAGAGAACGTTATCGCTGATAGTGCAATCTGCGCATTGTTATGTACGTGTTTAAAACAAAAGTTTATGGCAATGAAGGGTTAAAAGTTACATAAAGCTCAGATGATGCTTTATGATTGGTTGAGATGTGTGAACTATAATAGCGTATGTGTGTAAGAATGATTATTAGGGCCAGTGAAGAGAAGCCATCGCGATCTCCGTAAGATATTTGCAAAATATTGCCTAGAAAATTCACGAAAATACTGTAGAAATTTTGGAACTTAATAGCCCATCGAGTCGATTATGTTTCTTGCCAGAAGCGTCCACCTTCACAACACGAACTGATTCCTTACGTACTGCCACAGTTACTAACCATTAAGGAACGTTCATATAGACCAAGAAGAAGATAGAAGGCATCGAATTATGGGATGATTAACGAAAACTGAATTTGAAATAATGTAGAATAAGACGCTGGGTGCCTAATTCTAAGGCGCTAAGCCGAAATTTATCTGGAGGGACTGAGGAAGCCCACAAAAATTATCAGGATAGTCGGTCTTCGCGTCGAGATTACGACGTGAGATCTCCCCCGAATAAGATTCAGCGATGAGTCTCCTTGCCACTCGACAGCGAAGTTCGGCCTGAAAAATAATTTAATGTTCGTCGTAACAGCGACTTGCTGTCTTATCTCGGTGTTGTGATGCCTTAACTTGGCGCGAGTTATTCGGCGAACAAGTATTACTCGTCACTTCAAAAACATTACAGCTTCAAATATAAGGGGAAAGTTTCCGTATTGCTTTGCACGCCTCGAAGACTTTAATCTGAATGAAGCGGATAAATTATATTCAAAGTTTTGTTTATGAAACTCATTTCGTGAGGATTTGTGAAACACATAGGACCTATTCCACTTTGTTTCCAAGTCTGTAGACTCCCTTAAACAGAATATTCAGAACTTGATCCATCAATTTTCTTCTTGAGAATAACAAATTGCATCGTATGCAGTCTTGAGGCTGTGGCCGTGTCTCTCGTACACACGTACAAGGTAGCGCCTTGGCTCCTTTGAACTCTCACAAAAATTATATGTTGTGTTTCCATAGAGAAATCTCTTGAAAGAAATACGATTTTAAAAGAAGTTTATAAAAACGTTTTATTCTGATCCAAATATTATTGTTTCTATTTCTGCCAAGTTTTTTCTGTGGTGACGGCGTTCGTGTTCCAATAACATAATTATCAGTAGCTGAAACAGTAAATTGTGCTCTGTTCTGTCTTCGGATTCGCGCTTTTATCTTCAGTCACTCTATAATTATTGAAACCAAATCTTTGTATGTCACGCAAAAATGGACCTCGGGATGCCATTGGACAATACGTTTGAAAGCCGACGCTAAGCGTTGCGATTCTTACCATCGCGACGTCTCGAAGGGACGCCACAGTTACAGCAGGTGAGATTCCGGACGCCGTACGTCACGACGTTCCCCAAAGATGCCGCATTTTGCAAACCCTGACGCCCCGACACTAAATATTAAACGTAAGCCAAACTAATAGAAGCTTCCTTTCGGAACACGACAAGATTCTGGAAAACCGACGCCGTACGTCACGACGCATATAAGACAAATGAGCCTCCGGTACCATATAACTCTAGCAAACCGACGCCAGGCGTAACGACGAAAAATGCAACGATATGGAGCGCAGACGTCGATAATTTTTAAGATGCATAACGAAACTAAACCACTTTAAACCTTGACTAAGCCGAGCTAACATAACCTAACCTCTCATGACCTATACTGACCCGTCCAGAACTGCTCAGACCTGTCGATATCTGTGCCGTGGTGTGTCATGGCGAGCTGTGTTATCCTACCCTAGATAATTGTAGGAGAGCAATGGACCAAGCAAGGATGATACAGAACTGAGGTCGAGTTGAGTAGATAAGAGGAGTCTTTGAGCAAACCTTCTTCTTATCTTTATCTAACTCAGTGCAATATCAGATAGTACGTAGTTCGCACACTTTCATGCACAAAGTCCTGACGAGTATCTTCTAGACGAATTGCTGTACCGAAAAAATGTTATAGAGCTTAAGGATTATATTCATCTGTGATATTCGGCGACGGGTCTTCGTGTCGGATCATCAGACGTTTGATAAGCTTTCTGACAATGAATTTTAATAATACAAAATATTTCTGGAATTTTTCCGCAGTAGGACCGCGGCAATTGTGCCTATGTTTAATAATTCATTCCGTACCAGAAAGAAAACAACACTTCTGGGTTGTAGCTCAGTGTAGTCTGGTAGAAGTTTACCAATGATAAGTAAATCGCCCTGATGATGGAGGCAGCAACGACCTCTGAAACGTAGGTAAACTTCTACCAGACCCAGAAGACAGCCATCTTTCAATACACAGCCGTGAAAACCTCAAATCCTACTCAGGTCGTTAATGATGTTTGGGGAATTAATCGCACCTTGTCCTCAGAATTATACTAAACACAAAAATTGCAGGTTTATAGAATGACAGGGAAGTAAGACAGATATGAACCACAAAGTTTTTTTCTTTGTTTGCTGGCATTAAATTGAATGTAACTTTAGTCCACTAATTCTGAAACTTTGTTTTTCAGAAAAACTGACAACAAGCAGGACGAATGTCTTGTTTCACAAGAGAAGCTCCACCCTGTTTGCGCTCAGCGCATCGAAGGTTCTGCGATGCCAACTTGCCACTCCCTGGCCGAATTCTGTCGTGAAGAAGTGACCTGCAGGCAAGTTTTGGCTGCAGGTCCAGTTACATAATTAAATTACTTCGAAGCACGAAGAGACTCACACTGACAGGACAGCGAGAGACGCGAAATTAAACACTGAAATACAACGCAGAAACGCAAACAATACGAGCACGTAGTACAAGGAAAATAACTTATAAGTAGACTGCAGTAATCATTTTTTTGGATTTACAAGAATAGATCCATGATTGTAGCAGATTGCAGTTCGGTTTTTGTATGTGGTTGGTGTACGCACGATTTGCCGTAGAATTGGACGTAGGTACGGGACCTAATCAAAGGGACATGTGGGTTAGTCCGCGAGAAAATCTTTTACTACTGGAGATTAAGTTATTCTACTGAAATGTTATCTTCAAGTTGGATGGTCTCTAACTCGCTGATTATAAGCTTTGCTCCCATCACGAATGAAGATTGGGAAAATGTTACGCCACGTGAAAAGTAATGATTCTTAGTGCATGAGTAATTACAGAATTCTGAATTAATTGCTTAAAATTCTAACACGTGCACGTGATGACATTGGAGCTAATAGCCAATAGTGAAAATGACAGCTGATGGCGAAAGATCTGATCTGCGTTCGATGCCCGAAATTGCTCTTCTTAGCGTAAATTTGTGGTTCTGATTCAAAAGCATATTAAGACACTGCCACTTGTGTTGCTAAGCGTACACGAATTGTTCATCTGGGCATGGGCATTCTGTTTCTTAGCGTACATTTGTGGTTTTGATTCAAAAGCATATTAAGACTGCCACTTGTGTTGCTAAGCGTACACGCAGAAGTGACGAAAATACAGTATTGGGTAAGAGTAATGTTTTTCGATAGGATTATAGTTGTAGAGCGTCACTGCTTGGCTAATCGACTGTAACTAGAATTTCAACTTCCACTATTTCCCCCCCCCTCCCCCCACTTCGCTGAAGCGCAGGCCCGCGGCCACGTCTAAAAGGCTGAACTGTACGTACGAACAATCGTTAAGCGTCCTTAAGGGGAAGAGTGTCACATGTACTGTCGCATTCTGCAAGATTGCCGGCACGTGGAATAGTCAGCAACAGTATTCCTCGGACAGAGGTCAATTGCATTAATGTTTTTCTCGGAAACATGAACAAGAAATAAATCATCAAGATTAGTCCCGTAGACTTAAGTCTACTGTAGTTTATATGATTCAGAATAATTTGGTAATTATGGCGATAGTTTAAATTTTTCAAACTGTTCTTAGCTTTATGATATCTGGAGCTTTCGCAAATGTGGATTTCCATCTTGTGGTTTGTGACGCCGTGCAAGTGGTTACCTAAGATGCAGTGTTAAGTGTCGCCTCTGTATTCGATGTGGAAGACCGAGGCAGCACTGACGTTCCTCGGAACTGTTGCAAGAGTAAGCGACGTCCCTGCCCAGAGGCCACAAACCATGCTTTGCAGATTCCGAGTGTAAGTCAATGGCGGCGTACACTACCTGCCAAAAGTTGAAAGCTTACGTGCAACCCCGAATTCTGTATACCACGTGGATCTCCGTTTAAGGCTCGGAACATCTTAACTGCGCCAGTGAGACGAGGCAATGACGCCAGTTGCCCTCGAGTCTTATCTCGACCTTTGACACTAGTGTCAATAAGAGAGGACTCATTGTATGTAGCATTATCTGCTGTGGAGCCCTTACTTCAAAACATATTTGAAGATCGAAAGAATTGTGACTTCCATTTTTGCTTAAACAGGATTTTTACGTTCTTATAAGTATCGATTCTTCTCGTATATTTTCGTACAAATTACTGAAGCAAATGTTATTAATTTCATTCTTAAAAATTAAGCGTTTAGATTTAATGGACTTATAATTAGGTCCATGTTACTTTCTTTCAGTTACGTATTAAGTGCATGGCGTAATCGTTACTTTGACGTGCTGACTGTCAGACAAACGACGTGGTCCTTGAAACCTCGTAAGGTTTAATGTTCATTTTGTGAAAACATTGCAGCAAGATCAACGCATATTAAGTAGGAGACGCTAATCAATGCCAGGTTCTGACCTCAAAATTTTGTTGCCCGGAATTGCGTCTCTTATAGAAAGAAAATCCGGAAGTACCACTCACTCAATTCAGGAAAATTTTGTGATGGAAAACTTTTTTTATATAATTTAGTCTATAGTAAGCGGAAACTGCAGTGAACTGGTGGGTTTCAATGTGGAATTGAAGATGCAAAGCGAATAACATCACATAAGCCCGTATCTGCGAGGACCGTCTTCGGTAAAATATCAATACTTTTCTGGGGCACTTGTCCTCTTAAAACTCAGGTTAAATCACCAGTCTCTAAGTCTTCAGTCGAACTTGGGCAGAAGATGCGCGTATCAGTTCACTTCAAGACGTGACATATTTGTCCAGAATAATGAATTTTGTAGAAGATTTTGTTTCCATTTCTTGTAATACTTCTTCTTCGCTCATTATTCCAAACGGAGATCAGATTAAAAACGCGTTCCAAGATTTACGCATTGCGTGCGCACAGAGTCTGGAACGCTGCACCTCCGAAGTGGATCTTACGATAAAAATTCCTCTCTTTCGACTTTTACCCAAGACAAGAACGACGGAGCGGAGTCGGTGAAAGCGAGTGAAAGTCCTGGATGAAAGGCGCGCTGGTCCAGAAACGATGAGAATGACCTGGTGCCAGGAACCTTGTCGCGAAGGCAAAGGCTGGCTCTCAATCATTCGGACACGACCCCGTTCTGTCCCAGAGCCCGGGACCGACTCTGCTCCTGTGCGCGTTGTTTAGATTAACGCACTAAAATTAAATTTACATGCAAATTGACTGGGAAATGAGAACGAATAAAATAAACAGGATCGTAAATACAGGAAGTCCTTGTTATTTTCCAAGTTATTTAACGGCTCTGTTCCGAGTGCTGGGAGCGCGTGGCCTCTGATGGGACGGGAAATTGAATGTGAATGCTAAGGATTCGTGTGGAGGCGGTCGTGACCTCTTTGCAGGCAGCAACGCGGCATTCAGTTCGGTTCCTGCAGAATACGAGTGTGTGCCTTACCACTACAACGGCCCGGTCGTCAATGCACTTTGGATGAAACCAGTCAATTACGAATTGTGAAATTGTGTGTCTGCATTTGTTACGTGTGACTTAGAAAGAAAGAATTTAGGGAGTAAAGTGAGTCCAGTAGAATGGAAAATGCGAGGAAATTCTTTGGACGATTGGTGGAAAATGCGCTGTGAAGGTGTTTATGAACTGCTCACAGCATTGCGGCAGTTAACTCGCGGAAATTATTTGTGACCTGGACAGACGGCCGAGGCGAAGGAAACAAGGAATGCCTGCAGACTTTCTGTGGGCGAAGCCTCTAGAAAAGCGATAAACTCGAAGGCAGAAATGAGGATCGCTGATTAATGTTAAAAGGGTAGATTTAATATTACCATTCTTAATAATAACAAAATAACATTTTAATATTATGTAATCGTTTAATAATTCAGTCAGGCAAATGGGAGTGTCGAGGATTCTGCGTCTGTAATCGGCCAGAGCTCTGCCCTTTCTGCAGTCTCCTGCCCAATCCATGTCAGCAACCGTCAAGGACGAGTTTCATGTTCGGGAGGTCTCTGGTCTGAAACTGGACTCGAAGACAGGCTATCTTGGCGGAATTTTCGTGGTTTCCACAGTCCCTCCACCTAAAATTACGCTAAGACTGCTTCCTTCCACATCCCTTTTAATTAATCGTATGAATCTGATCACTGACAGCGTCGTTGAATAAGCCACAAATAAATAGAATCTACACGAATCTCCTCGCAGTCAGGTTTTTGTCTCATTCGACACTGTGGGACTTTTGTTTTGTAATCAACGAGGAAATCGAAGACAGGCTTAAAATGCGTCTGTTAAACGACGTTCTTTGCTAGCAGTCCTTGTCGTACCATGTGCCTTTGCCACGTACTTCCTCAGGACTCTTGATTACTCCGAACTGTCATCAATGTTGTGCGTGGAAAATAACTTCCATATGTTCACTGCGGGCCTTAACTCAATATTTGTTAAACTTTTAGACGATTAACTCAGCGCTCCTCGCTAACACCATTCATCGCCTAATATACGGATATTTTAGACTCTGGTTAATGATAACATATCTCTTAATGGCGTCAGAAGAGCGGAGACCGTTATGATTTCTGACCTCTGGTCTCGATTTAACCAAGGTCAGACGACGTCCTTGTAGGACATAGGAGGGTCTTAATAAAACTAATTTAACATTTTAAGTGACACTCTTCCCAAGACAATAAACAAACATTCGAATCTTAAATTTAATTAGTCTGTAGACTTTTTAAATGTATTTCGGAATTCCTTACCACCCTCCGAATAATTGTTGCTTCGTGCTTTGGTTGTGGAAGAATTTTTCCAAGAAAACATTTTATTGAGAACTGTTGTGATATTTCTAGACACCCTGTCCTCTGTTTACAGACAACGTAATTTTTCTGTTCATTGCACAGACATTACATTATGTAATATAGCAATTAAAATAAGTTCTTTTTTAAAAAAATATTTTGAATTAAAGGTTTTGATAATAAAAACTGAAGTTTTTTTCCTCATATCGGAATAAACATGTTCGATGTTGGGACGGAAAAAAGCTCCTCGCTTAAAATGGCTTTCATAAAACAGGAATTGTCTTCATTGTCCGAAACGTAATTTAGTAATATTCTGGATGTTCAATTAAGCTGTTCATGATGTAAGATTATGTTCTGAAACAAAAGTGCGAACACATCTGAATGGTAAATGCCCCACCACACTCTCAGGCATGTATCTTAATCTTCTGCACCATTTTATAGGTTGGTGAGTGTACAGTCACGTTCAAAGAAATACGCGCTCTTGGGCCTGCGTGTTTGAATCCTCCAGCTGTGCCTTGTGTCGTTCCAGGAACAGGCTGGAGTACTACGAGCAGTCTTGTGCGGTGGACAGCCTCACGAAGAAGTGCGCCGGACCGCCCTCGGAGTGTCGGAAAGCGATGCTGGGCATCCTTGGCACAGAACTCCGAGCAAACTGCGCTTGCAAAGGAACGGACTTCACCCAGCTGTACGACTGCCTAGGTTGGCAGCGCCTGCTCTGGGTCAACCCCTGCGTTGGTCAGTAATCGGCGTCTTGTCACAAGTAGATAACATCTTCCCGGGGCCCAAATGTGAATTATTTCGGGTGTGGGTCAGTGGCTTCAATCTGAAGCCCTGGTGTCTTGTCACAAGTAGATAACAGCTTCCCGCGGCCCAAATGTGAATTATTTCGGGTGTAGGTCAGTGGCTTCAATCTGAAGCCCTGGTGAAGGCTTTTAAACTTTCAGAAGTTCTTCGACAAAATCCGGGATTGTCTTACGTTAAATACGCCGTCGCACCAAAGGAGGTGAGTTTGTGGGCGTTGTCTCGAAAGATCAGTTTAAGTGCTTGAGTTTGTATGCCCCGTGCTGTACTCAGCAGTTTCTTTGCCCTGTACGCCTGCCAAAGTCGGAGACGCCTACCGGCGCTCGGAGTAAAGCCCTTCGGGGTATCTGATTGTTCCTTCAGACGCCTGACGTCGCTTAGACAGAATGGCAAATCTCTTGATGTCATAAACGCGATACGTTGGAAATTTGCGGAGATTAAAATCGTACACGTGACAGGCCAAGGATGTCCGACGTTGCGGTAGCCAGCAAAACGCCGAAAGGGATCGCTTCGCGTAGCCAAGCCTTGGACAGTTAAAAAGGAAGAGGGTGTCTTACATCTTTGAATTAGAACAAGAATTTTCTTATTGTATAACAAAAGTAAAAGACAAACACCGGATGATGGCGACGCGATCCTCACTTTCGTGTGCCTCGAAAGTGGCGTTAATTAAGGGCAAGAATTCTTCGCCGTTTGCGCTCCACCGAAAACGTTCCGCTGCATTTCTGTAAATCTTATTCACCCTCATCGTGAGAAGATAACAAACGATTAAGTGCTAAATGCACCTGTTTCCAGGAGCAATTAATATATAGAGTTTGTCATTTCGCAGTTCGTATGACTAACATTTATAATCCCGGCAAAAATTAGTTACGTATTTCACTTACAGCATTGAAGACGTGTCCGTGAAATGGAATGGCAATTTGAAACATAAACTGAATCGAAGGGGCATTCAGTGGAATGATTTGCCCTCAGGTTTTAGCCGGCCTGTAGAAATTTCTGTCGCATAACCTAAAAAATCTCTCCTCCGAACTGTTATTTAAAAATGCTCTTATAGCTTGGTTTTGTATCCTGCGTCCTTGTTTCAATATAAAAAGGACGTGAGAACCAATCAGTTTACAGCTTATTTCACGACAGTGTTTTGTAACTCAGTACGAAAAGTCGAATTACAGGGTGATTAATAATTGGTGAATTGGAAAGAATATGCAAGCAAACGATGTAACATAATTTAATGATACTGTTCCGCCATTTCTCTGGAGGGACTGATGAAAACCACGAGGATCGAAAGGAAAATTGATATCCGAATGTGACCTCTCGAACGAGACGTTCCGTGGATTAATTTTATGAGTTACCGGCACCAATTTTGACATTATCGACTTTGCCAAGTCACTTAAGTAACATCGGCCAGCACATGCAGCATTCAGAAGTAAATATGACGCAAATAATTGATGTGGTTTTATCGCGCATTGACATTCATGTGTTTGATATATTTCTGCCAACATTTTTATTCACGGTTCTCCATTTTAAGTGGCTTTGTTTAAAACGTAATAATATGTTTAAGGAAAAACTAGGATGTACGTATACAGGTCTATATTACGTTTAAAATAAATGCAGTTGAATTATAATAAATAAAAAGGTTCTTTAACACTCTACAATGAATATAAAATGATATATAGACTTTCAACCATTAGAGGCAATAAGTAGATTCTTTCAAAAAGCTTAACTAACAGAATAGCGAAGTACGTGTAATACTTGCCAGCAACCGAATATTTACTCGACGTACAAAGTAATTTTACTTAGTAAACTAGTTTTCTCCTTTTCTCACACATAACCTCAAGGACTTCGCTGTAGTAGCGTTAATTGATTTTAAAAGACGGAGAGAAGTCTTGCGCCATGTTGGCAACACTCGTTTTACGTTGGCAGACATTTGCAACGTTCTCTACGACGTACTGTGAAAAAAATATGTATTCACGTACACGGTGTAGTTTGTCTTTTTGTTCTGATGTCGTCTTTGTTAGACACAGGCTACATTAACCTCGCGTAATCGAAACGTCCTTCATTTATAGACAAAGAATGACGTTGAATGGAGTGGCGCTGGTGTAGCTGCGGCCGTAATTGATTTTATCGCGAGTTAAAAATACTGTGACCTGTAAATGGCACGGCGTTAACACCGAATTCATTGAAATTTCGCCAAGTGAATAAGTTGTTACGAGGAAATCACGTGCAATATGTGTGTGTTGTGGTGCATTTCGTTTCGTAAATAATCTTTATTACTACGTATTACGTAAAATATAAGACAGTGCAAATCTATTGCTATATACCATAGCAACGACTACATTATATCTGAGTTTCGTTGAAAGGAGAATTCTGAGATCACGCGTAGAGCGACATCCGAGGAGGTCAATCACGTTGGCTGCCGCAGAAGTGGTCAGCGGTGGTCAAACAGTTTGAAGGGCCGCTACAGACAAACGAAATTTTCACGTCTCACGAAATGTTTTCTGTGAAATCGAAAACCGCGCCACCTCTGGGACTCGACAGTGACGAAAGAAATTTGTACTTGCCAGCAATCGACTTCTGCAGACACAATCGTACAATTTTCCTCGCCAGTTCTTTTACCACACTCAGTCGTGGCATTTCAATGTGTGTGGTGTGTCGAGACGCCTCGTCGACTCACCTGTGGTTTTATGGCGGCCTTAATCTCGCCGCAGGCGAAAGCCACAAGAAGGCCTGTCGGGAAGAGGCTGATGATACATTTTGTCTAATCGATTCTGCTATTCCAGTGTTTGGAGCATCACTAAACCGTACTCGTAAGAGAGAAGACGTTTTATTCGTCGTTTCTCGAAGTGTTAGCCGAAGTAACACGGATGATTCCTTGTTTTTCGCCTGGGACTTTTCCCCTTATAATGCGGTGCAAACACAGAACTAATCAGCGAATTAATTGTGCATTCCGTCCTGAAGTTGTCCCTCGTAGATCGTCGGTAAGAAGGAAGGAACGCGATCAATTCTCCAATTCCAGGAAAAGAAATCAGCAAAGAAGAGTGGACATTTCTTGCCAGGACACTTCACAAGAGACGAATTGGTGTAATGTTTCACCTGTGATGAATTGGCTTCTGTTCGTAGGGGGGGGAGGGCACTTCGTTAAGAGTGCCTTAACCATCGCACCCTTTAAATGTATATTCAATTATCGCCTTTATTTTGACATTCTTTGAATCGCTTTGTCTATAAATAAACGCATTACCTAGTAGACGTCATTAAACGTCGCGGTCGAGTGGTTATCTCTTTATTTGTATTCCGGAGGACAGCGGTTCGAATGCTGTCTGAGGTCTTCCGGGATTTTTCTTTAATCCGTCTAGGAAGATTCTGGAATGTATTAAATTAGGCCACGGCAGTTTCCTTTCGCACCATTTACCATTCATTATGCCTTAGTCGTGTCATCGTTCACGCTGTTCATCCAGAGAAATACGCGTATGCAGGAAGAAAAATGTTAAAAGTACATCTGCCGTCATAAGTCGGTAAACACATACCCGTATAAATTTCACTCGTTGTAAATAATTTAATTACAGACTTAAATGCGATTCAGTTCACACCAGATTTATCTAATTATGACAAAAGGTAAGTTTAATTGATGTTTCGAAGCCAAATTGCACTGCAGAACGAACTTAAGACTGGGAAAAGCGGAACGATGGAGAGTAATCAAGGAACTGACTGCATTTGCGATTTCTTTATTTAAAAACGTGTGTACAAATGCAGAATTAACCTAGGCCTACATATTTTGCGTGAGGTATAAAATACTGAACTCCGTGACCTCTTTCGCTGAGGAAGGGCGTGATTTTGGTTTCTCTGGTGTATTTCGTGAATGCCCTTAACTTTGTGCACTGAGCGTTCATTCCAGTAAAACAGACGATTCACGCGGGGTTGAACACAACTTGAATTTCTGTGGGTCGCCGATTAGTCACTGAGATGTTCCGTGGTTTTCCTTGCCACTTCCGCCCAAATACGTGAATCGTCCTCACCAACTTTCATTACGTCACTGAAACCGTACTCGAGTCGTCAGACAAAATTTGATGTTGGTCTTCGTTGTTTCAACGCCGTGCACGCCAACGTTTCGGCGGCAGTGAGTGCTTCTGTGTTCAGGGCGAAGTTGTTAAGTTCGTGTATCCAACGTTGAGTCGGTTTTCAAAACGAACGATGTTGTAAAAAACAGTTGAGTTCGTTCTTGGCCTCAGTTGCAAGCGTGTTTTTTCATTTCGTTTGCATGATTGAACGTCCCGGGGGGGGTTGGTGTTGCGACATCGACTGTGTGTGCCTCTTATTTGCCATTCACGCTTAGTTTACGCCTGATTTGCTTGTAATTCCTGCTTCCCGTATGCCCCGGCGCGTATGCGGTGCAGTGGCTTCGCATCAGCGCACAGAAACAATAAAGGCATCAATCCCGACGGTCGGGAAACACGACTTCCACTCTTAATTATGCCAACCTGCCTGCGTTTTCCTGAGGGCGGCCATTTTGTTATTTCTCACAGCTTCTTCCCTTGTTCTTCGTTGTTAACGCTCTTATGAAGTGTTATTATTCCTGAATAGATTTTAAAACTTTATTTTTTATCATTATAATTTTGTCTATAAATACAAATTATTGTTGAATCCACCCTAAACAAATTTTGGTTTCCAGTTTCTGTATAGCTATTATAATTTTTATAATTTTCATGCAAATGTTGTGGGGCGCATAAAATTACGTTTTCATTTTAGTCTGTATTTTTATTGTCTCGTGACACGAAGTTCCATGCCCGTGCGTGCGTGCGTTTGTTTTGTGACCTTCGACCTGGCTCTTGCGCGCTCAAAACTGCCCTGCCGATTGCAGTTGGTGTGATTCGCATTGCAAATTCGGTCTGTTTATTGGATGGTAGCTCCGGTCAAAATTATTCTTATCCCGAAAAATATTCAAAATAATATACGAAAACGTAGTTTATTATAATTGCTGATAAATTTGCTGTCACCAAATACACCTCAACTTAATTGTCGCTGTAATTTAAATTAAATAATTAGGGCGAGGAAATAATCTACTTACAATTCTTGCATCAAACTCTGCCTAATATTCACTGGCGTCTGTTTCAAAGTTACTAATGTGAAATTTAAAAAATCAGGTCGGGGCTGTTCTGAAACATGACTGCAGTCGCCACAGTGCAAAATCGGTGTGTGTGTGTGTGTCCACGTGACGTACGACAGAGAATCTACACTTAGAAGTTGGCGTGGCTGATCCCACGATAAATCTTCCACTTTGCTTCATTAAACGCGTGACATCGCCCCCCCCCCATTCTCCCTAATTTGGAGTTCCGCTTTTTTTTATCCGTTGTGACAAAATATTTCCAACTTGCGCTTCGCCCATTGATAAACGTCGTACAGAATCCACGGCACCCTTGATAAGCAGTTACAGGATTTAGGGCCCTCCCTCCCGGTGTGAAAACCAAAGGACAAATTGCCTCGAATACCTGATATCCCACGCGGCCGACTTTTGACTAAAGCAAAGTCGCGTTTTCCAGCACACCTAAGCCAAAATATAATTTAATCTAAAATGTGGGGGGGGGGGTAAAAATAGCAAAAGAAGATTTGCAGCTTCCACGACCTTCTAAAGCTGTGCCCCACAGCCGGTGTTCTGCCTCGTATTTTATAAGAAGTTTGTAATTATTTAAGACGTTTAAAACTGTGTGAGTGCCCAACTCCAATGTCTGCATTCTTCGCTCCCTTTTCTTGTCCTGTACATTCCTAGGAATTGACTTTCCGGCGTTAAAGTAGGGCTCCTATTGTAGATTTCTCAATATGTTCGGCCGCTGCCATTAGCAGTTGCTTCTTATCGTCAACTTGGATTCAGTTAATCTTCCACGTCCGTGGCGTTGCCCGTGTTGAGAAAAATCGGTCTGTTGCTTCTGGGTTCGCAGTCGAGTCGCAGAAAGATTACCACACGAAGCGCTCAACGGAGAGGCTTCAGACGACAGCGGTCTCGATCACCACCAGCAGCAGAAGCTCCTCGTGGAGGCCAAACGAACCAAATGAGACGCCCAGGGGGGTCTCAGCCTTCGCGGTGCCCACGGCTGCTACGACAAGTAGGATTCTGCCGGACGAAGGGGCCCAGAGCACGGAGCTCGTGGAAGTACCCAGCACTACCCCCACCACCACCACAACAACCCTCCCCCCACGTGAGTAGACACCGGAAACAATTTTGAAGGCTCCAGAACTGGGAGTCGCAATTAGCTGTTTACGAGAAAGTCCTCTTATTCACGCTGTTGCCCTGTTTCTGTAACATTTATTTCCTTCCTGTAAATTTGACGAAAAACAATTTTATTCGTTTCCTACAAATCGTTTGTTCGTCTTAATTTTCCTACGTATTCCGTTTTGTAATCGAACTTTTGGATGACCCAGTACACTCAGCCAAGAATACGGAGGAACTTTTAAAATTCTACAGAACGTACTTTAATGAGACATATAATAACAGTACCTTCCATCGCCACCAAAACCTCGACTCCTGGAATCTGTAATACGAAAATTTCGTATTCTCCAGCCCAAAGAGGGGAAAACAATATTAGATCACGAGAGTAAACGTTGTTTGTTGACGTCCTGATTAAATCTTCGACGTCTGTTATTTATTCGCTGTTGGCACCAAAAAGATTCTCAAGACGAGCCAGTCCCCTCCCCTCCCCTCCCCCTCTCCTTCCCCCACCTGTTCGGTAGAAAGTGCGTTATTCACGTTCAGTCTTGTATTCCACCGTCGGACTGAATTAATTACAGAAATGTATTTCTTGTATTCGTCGCCTTGTTTGGCGCTGCATTGGAACAAGAAATTATGAGCTGCGTGGATTACATATGGCGGAAATCAACTGGATTTTGTGGGCGGATAAAAGAGCTCGTAGTAAGAGTTTGCCAGATGAGGGATGCACAAATTTGAAATGTGTGGGCTCTCGTGAATGATGCGAAGGTCAGGGCACACATGAAGTTAAATCGCGTATTCCGGTTTTGAATTCGATTAAATTACTTTTCGTGCCTGCCCTTGAAATTATCTTTGCTCCGCGAACAAAGAAATTATTTCAAGGGATGATCGGTCAGTGTGCCGCCACATCTGCACTTCATATTCCTGCAGTGGCATCCCGACTTTTTACACCGAATTGCCTGGAATCGAAATTAATGTCTTTCCAGTTGCCCGACATTTTCCCAGCGCCAGGTGCAAATCTGTCCCGTTGAAGTCATTAGCAAATGTCTGCATTTTGCACAGCGCTGAAGGCCGTGTACACAACACCTACGTTACAGAAGTTGAACCATGACCCGATCTCTTTTTCGCAGATAAGAGAAGAATGTAATTTATATCCCATGTAAGATGAATGCCGTGTGTAGACATTTGCTGTCTTTGATTATTAAAAATATTATTACACGCAGCTCAGCAGAGAATTTTGCGACATACGACACCCGTCGCGGTAGATTTGCGTTCCGATATCAGATAGCACAGTCATCAGATTAAATTTAAGCGCGCCTGAGGAAGAAATCCATTGCCGTATCTTATTATGGATTTGTTGCGATTTGTTTGTGTACGAAGAGCAAATCGCGTTTCTTCGGACGGCTTATACCATTTCCTCCATGTTTAAAACAGATGAATGTTATCGTCACCAGACAGATGAAAGTCTTGTAGCAAACAGCGAGAGGATAATCTTTGAACCCTGCTAGATCCTGTTAAGGGGTCACGCTAACAAGAGCGCAATGACACGGCGCTGATGAAACATGGAAGACGCTGGTCCATTACTAAGGCAACAAAAGAACAGAGGTTTCAGGACTCGAGAGACAGAAACTGTTTCTGTCAGCACCTGAGAAATGTCCGAGTGGACTTGAGTACGGCAAAACATTAGGATAACTATAAAATTATAATTTAAGCGCGCGAATTAAGGTGACATCGTAAAACAGTTGACGTAACGTAGAGCTGAAATGTACGAAGATGTGTTGTGTGTAATCAGATAACAAAAAGGATTGTAAAAGGTGACGATGCGAAAAATAAGTCCCGGAACGTACCGGAATTCTGCACCACAGATTTAAAATTACAAAATTACGTCGTGAACGAAGTCCTGCGTGTACGTAGTCTGCGCGGGCGTTCCTGGATTTTTTTATTGATATTGTTGATATCTCCCGTTGACCAAGATGAAAATATTGTAGTTCTCTTGATCTTTAAATTTTTAAGTAGGAGACGTGAAGGCGAGTTCAGCTACTCGTAATTTATTTGTGAATTCAATTCTCCCATGTGGTCCCTTTCCCTTCAGGTTTTCGACCAGAATTGTGTGAGCATTTTTCCCCTCGAAGCGTGCTACATTCCCCACTTACCCCCACTGTCGTTTTATTGGTATAAATTCTGAGAAGAATATCGAGTCATTATTATGAGTGTTTGTGTGTTTTCGATGATCTACGAAGTACAAATGAGTTTTCTCTTTCAGGCTTCTGTGCTGTGCACCGCGATCATTCCGTGCAGTACATCCGAGAAGGGAGGGGGAAGAGGGTAAGTGTCCGACGAGGTCAACTTGAATCAGCTCTAGGGCGAGGTACCCACCCGACCCACAGAGGTCTCCCTGCTTCACACCTGAATAAATATCGTATTTTAAAATTAACGTTCTTATTATCCTTCGCTTGGCATTTACGATAATCTGAAGACAATGAAGGAATGTAAAGAAATTGGTAAAATGTCTGCACGTTTCTGCGTCAGAGGACCTCCCGTTATTACGTCTCTTCGTTTGGCGTCAGCGAAGAGGAACCTATCCGCGCCTCGTCCGCCACAACCCGCAAGACGTAACAAGTTCTGAAATCCCTCGCAATTACAGAAATGTTGTAAACGCACTAATTAACGCTGTTCTGTTGACAGAGTTGTTGTCGCTTGGCAAAATCTTCGTGTGAACAAATTTTCTTCAAATCCGTGACCGAATACATTCGTACAGATCTGAACCCTTTAATCTCCATTAATTTCTCAGCGTGAATGAATTCCATAATTTAATTTGTCTGCAGAAAGTTCTGCGCGGCTTTAACCATAACAACGAAGAAACGCGTATTTGTTATGAACGTCTGAAATGAGTTACGGATCTGGGGGCCTGATACGAGCCCGTAAGATACGCTAAAGTAAACGTTCTTCATTTGATGCAAATGCTGAGTCCATCAGACACAAGAAGACACTCGTTTTATTTGGGGCTTGACTTTTTATTGAAGGGGGGGGGGGGGGG